AGTGGGATTTGCAAGTTGTAAGAGAGAAAGAAAATGACAATCAAGTTGAAAGTTCATTATCAGCACAAAGTTATCTATACAGCACATGGACTGCCTGCCTAATTGATTATACTTACCATATATTGATCAATCAGATATGATCAGGAAACTTTATTCTTTCACAAACTGAACAATAGTAAGAGTCCAAAGAAACTTTCTTTCTTCACTTCATTGAATCATTAATCAAGATTGTTGCTTAATTGATTATACTTACCATATCCTGGTCAATCAGATATTCTTATCCTTCACATCTGAACAACCTGTTAAAAGAGTCCAAATAAACTTTCTTTCTTCACTTCATTGAGTGAAGATTCTTGTAAGTTTGGTTCATGGGGACCTTCCTGTCGGTGGGTTCAAATAAGTTGCATGACACTATTGTAATTATCATATACACTAGAAGAATGACTCGGCTGCGCTCGGGTTACAATTTTTTTAATTTTTATAAAATATAAAATATATAATTTTTTATTTAATAATAAAAAATTAAAATTTTTTAGTATTTTTTAAAATTATGATCTTAAAACAAAAATAAACATAAGATATTTGAATTGTGTCATTCAATCGTAATTGAACAGTTATAGGTTTCTATTTTTAATAAAAGAAACTGCTTTAAAAAATTATATGAGGTGTATTTTTATAATTATGGTAAAAAAGGTATTTTATTAATTTTAATCAATTTTGGTAAGGAAAAAAAGAGACATAACATACTATCAAGTGGCTCATAGGGAAAAATTAAATCTAAAATTTTTTTATAAAATATTTTTTTTAAAATTTAAATTCAAGAAAAGTAGAAAAAGTAAAAAAAGAAAAAAATTTATATAACTTGCTCTCAAATAAAAAAAAAAGAACTTTAAAAAAATTTATAATAAGAATTTTATAATTTTTATATGTATTTATTAAATAAGTTTAAAGAAAAGTAAAGAAAAAAAAGTAAAATTTAGAAAATGACATGCGATAGCAAAAGAAAACATAAGAAATATTTCATCACAATTGGTTAGAATGTGTTTGAACAAAATTAAATGTCTACAATGATTTATGATTTTTTTTATAATTTTTATAGGTTACATATAGAAACGAAAATATTTCATGCAAAAAAAATAGGAAAAATATTAATTAAAAAAACAAAAAACCAAATAGATGGTTTGTTTGCTCAAGAAATGTGTAAGACATTCAATTTTGTCCAAATTGTCTAAAATGGACCTCAATTTCAATTGAGTGGATACTGACCCCAAATTTTATTTCAATTGGGCTTAAGACTAGAATTTTATCTTTGGCCCAAAGTTGTGGCCCAAAATCCAATTAAGGGCCTAAGTTTTTGTTTTTAAAAAAAGAGCAAATAAAATAAAAATAATAAAAAGTAATTAAAAAAAAAAAGGCCTATGACTATGGGTGTCGTCTATGGCACTAGCAACCCACGAGCCACCCTACCTTTTGCCTATATCCCCTTCCTCTTTCAGCCATGGTAGATAAGGCCAAGTCTTCAAAAAATCTAGTTTAAGCTAAAATGGAAAAAAAAAAAAGGTCACATCAACAGTTGTCCTGGTAGTATATAGGCTGTCGGTGACCTTTTGAAAACCCCTCAGAATCTCAAAAATTATGAGATTTCATATCCCCTCATAGTTTTATAAATTTAGAGATCAAGCACAAAACAAAAAGGAAGAAAAAAAAGAGGGAAAAACTTTGCCAAAAAGGAAAATCCAAAAAAGAAATCTATTGTCAAACAAAATAAAAAACTTTTCCTAATATGTAAAAATCAAAAACAAAATCCACATCCCTTGGAATAGGTAATCAACACCAGAAAAAAAAAACAAACCATAAAAAAAAACCAAAAAGAAAAAAGAAAAAGAGTTTTCAACTGAGACTTTGAGAATAAATCTAGGTATTTGGAGAGAGTTTTTTGAAAAATAGGGCTCAAAACGAGAATCAAGAGGCTGAGAGGAGTTTTTTGGTGACTTTTGGAAGTTTTCTGGTAATTGGCGACAATGACGACGAAAGAAAGTGCACGACGACAACCCACCATTTTTGTGAAGAGAGTGGAAGAAATTTTTTGGTTTTGAGGTTTTTTTTCTGTAAAAAGGGGAAGAAATTAGTTGAAAAAAATTTTGGTTTTCATAGGAGAGGGAGGGGAAGAGTTAAAATGATGTTGTTTTTGTTAGGGAAGGATCCACGTGAACTTGTTACCCAACTGTAGACATCCTATTTAGTTCGAGGCTCAAACTAATTGGACCTAAATCCGATCCAAGCCTAATAGTTTAATTTCCTACATTTCTTTTTTATGCCTTGTTAGTCTTATTTATATATTTCTCTTTTTTTATATTTTAGTATTTTATATATCTGGTTCTAAATTTTTATCATAAATCATAAAATCATGTGGAGTAATATGAGCACTAATCAAGGATGACCTCAGTAATTACATGATAACTTTAAATATTAAAGGAGGATTGAAAAGAAACAAAATCAAGGAATCAAAGTTAGATTTAATTTGGAGAAATTTTAAGGGATTCTAAGCATCAAGGAAAATCAAGACAATTCTAGAAATTAATTAAATCGGTTTTAAAGAGAATCAAGAAAAAAAAATCAATTCAGAGCATAATCAAATTTGCAATCTTTTCCATTCAATTCAAATCCCTAAAATTCTTAGCAAAAAGCCCTATATAAACACTAATTAACCACACACAAAAGGGGGGAAAATATTAGGGATCTTAGTTTTCTGTTTTTAATAGGAATCATTCAAGCAAATTCTAAGATTTTTTTTAGGTTCTGTGAATTTATTTCATTTCGAATTTGATTTGATTTTTGAGTTTCCTAAATTTGGGTTTTAATTTTTAAATTTGATACCATATTCTGTTGAGTTTATGAGTTTTTGCTGGGGTTTTTTTGTTGGCTTTTGATTTTGGAGATTTCTACTAGGTTTTCAATAATCTAAAATCTTTTCTAGGTTTAGGATGAATTTTTCGATTGAAGTTTGAAGTTTTTGCTTGAACCCGACAACCCGAGTAAAGATCTATGCTTCAAGCTTAACTTGATCACGGGTTTTTCCATTTTTTTTTTCATCTATTTTCTATTTCCTATTTTGATTTGATTTGATTTTTTGATTTGATTTTAATTTTTTTTAGATTTTTTATTTTTACTTATTATTATTATTTTCATCTTTATTTTTTTTTACTCATTACTTTAAATTGAAATTTTAATTTTTTATTTTTCAAAAATACCTTTATGAATTTTATTTTATTTATTTAAAAATAATAACCAAAAAATATTTCTAAAATAAATTCATGAATCTTACCAAACTATTGGAGAATTTTTTCTTGAATTTAAATTTTTATGAATTCTACCAAACTATTGGAGAATCTCATAAATCAATTTTATAAAAAAATATTACTAATAAAATATTTTGTTTTCATCCTACCAAACTATTGAAGGATTTGCATCTTAAATTAAGTCTTACTAAATTATTGAAAGATTTATTACGTTTTTAAAAATAAATTTACCAGGAAATCTCATGAAACTATTAGGAGATCTACATCAAAGTAAATCTTACCAAACTATTGAAAGATTTTATTAATTATTTTCTTGAATAAAAATATATTAATGAACCCAACAATAGAACCTCTTCAGAATGTGACACTAGTTTCTATGAATACTCTTAACGTGAGAAAATTATCTTAAACTGCTATCACACTATTAGAGCAAATTTAGGATTAGTTTCTAATAATTAAATGATTTGGTAAAATTATAAGAATATTTTAAGGTTCGAATAATTTAAAATTAAACTAGTACCATCATTTGGATGGGTGCTATAATGGTGCTATAACCTTCTTCATGTGTAACCGTATCTTGAACCTAGCATCTAATTTTTTGGACTAGAATTTATTATTTAAAAATATCTAAGTGAATTTTCGGACTCCTCTTTAAATATGACATATTCTATCAGGTGGTCAATCACATTTAAATAAAAAATATTGGTAGCGACTATTTTAATCTATATCTAACGATAGGTTCACGAGTCTATATATTATGACATCAGCTCGAGATTTGCCTGACTCGACTAAAAAATGTGACAACTAACTAGATTTTGACCAGTTCAACTGAATCAATATTGAACCGGATCTGAACCAGCTGAACTAAAATCATATCTAAACCAGCTTGAACCATAAAAAATAGCTCTAAACCACTTGAATCACAGGCAACGACTATAGGCTGTTGAACTTGAACTACTTTAGACCGTTGACCAATCTAGTTTAGGTATTTTTTTTGTATTTTATATTTACTTTTTTATTCTTTTATTAATATTTTTTTTAGTATTTTGTTTATGTTCAAAAATATTCTTTATATTAAAATAAAGTTTAATTTTTTTTATAATTTTAAATTTCGTTAAAAAATAAAACTAAAAGTTTTTTTTATAATAAAAATGAAAAATGAAAGAGTAATAAATAAAATAATATGAAATTTCCTTTTTTCTCTATAAAATAAAAAAGTTTAACTAAAATTAATAATAAAAATTGAGGAAAAAGAATCCGACAATATGATTCTACGAAAATTCATGATCCTAGGCTTCAAAAATATTAAACTTATATTAAAAATAATTTTTAATATAATAATAATTTAAACTGGACCTGAGCTCAAATTGTATTCCAATGAAAATTAATTTTATACACAATGCAATTGTAAGGAATACTCATTCGAAAAATTACTTTGATTCTCTAGAGCAATATTACCTTACAAAGTGATAAGCCAATTTATTGATTCACGTATACTAAATAAATATTAAACATATACAAATATATTGATTCTCTCAATCAAAATTACTTACAAGTGTAAAACTAATTATAAAGTTCAAGTTTTACCACGAAATTTTTTATATAGACAACTCAACAAAACCAGAAAAGGCCAAAGTTAGATTAATTAAGCTCCACTACGAATTTTTTTAATCAAAACCATCAACTTTAAACATAAAACGAAAGAAAATGGATGCGTTAACTATGACAAATTAAGCACAACCAAGAAATTTGTACTTAATCCCCCAAGTTTATTCGGAAACAACAAAACCTGTTGCACTGTTTATATTGTCAAAGATGCACAAGTGAGGTTCCGTCAATCAAATTGGCACTTTTCTATCGACTCCAGGTAGCATTCACCCTTGTAATAGCCATGAAATCGATCTAAAAACCACTGGCGTTACCATCTTTAGGCAATAGCAAGAAACTCCAATGGCCTACGTCTATATATTCATTAGAAAACCAAAGACTGAAAATTGAATGCCATGTAAGATAAAAGAAAATGAGAGAAGAAAATCTAACAGATGTTTCTCAATGCAAAGGTACCAATACAGTTTATCTTGATAGTAAAAGGTTGAACATTGAGTAAAAGCATAACTAAATTGTAAGTATCAGCAAATGAAAATTAATGGTTGAATGCAGTTCCTCCCCTGAAAGAAACTAGGCTCTCTGCATACATTGCTAGCTCTAATGCAATTCCTTCAAATTGGAGTGTCTTTATCTCTTTGTTATCTCGATGATGCCACGCCAGAAATTTGCTATCTTCGTTAACAAGGAAGATTTCACCATCGCTGCCGACTCCTAATGGTATAGTGGCAGGAGGAAAAGATTCAATGGTGAATAATTTTGTCCAAGAGTTCTTTAGACCAGGTTCACCCAACACCCATGCATCATAGCAGCCATACCTCACATAATAATCATGACAAAGTAACATACCAAGTGATCCGTTGATTTCCATTAAATAGGTAAGATAGCGTGTTGTTCTACAGTTCTTACCCAATCTCCCATCAGGGAATGGTGTTGTAACGAAAACTTCATTACTCATGTCAAATGAGAGGAGCAATTCTTCACTATCAACAACTGCCAAACAGTGATAAAATCCGTTGGAGTAGACTTGATCGATCCCATGACAATTGAAGAATTCAGCAGTTAAGTTGTCATTGAACTTTCTCCAAGAATCAGTAGTTAAGTTGTACAAAGCAACTCGGTTACCTCGGGGGACTCTGTCGAAATCACCCTCCCAAAATGTGTCAATCCTAATTACTTTATACTCATCTCTCTTGGAATCATAACCCAGACCAGCTACATCAATGGTATTTTCAGAGCTTGGCGGACACTCAAAAGGACACATAGGGAGAATTTTAAATTCCTTAGTCGCAATGTTCCACAAAAGAATACCACTAAAACGGTCACAAAGACAAATTATGCCATTGCAATGACCTAGGATATTTATATGTATCGGATCATCAGTAAAGGATGGTATATCAAGATTGGCAACAACATCAAGAGTTTGATTGGAAATAAAAGAGACCATAGCCTTTCTCGGTGAAAAATTCACTTGTTTCATGAGGAGACAGGTCTTGTTTTTACTAAAAGAATAGTGGGCCGTAATAAATTGAGGGCTTTGAATCAAGCAACACCAAGACTTACCAACACACCTGAATCGCTTTAGAGATTTGACAGGCAATCTTGCCAGAATATCCACCACAATATCTTCAGGCAACGAATGGGTGATCGCGGCTGCAGCCATTGATGATCTTCCTTGACGGTGTCCCCCTCTGCGTGTGTAAACGAGAGATTTGAGTATATGCAATACTTTCGAAGGGATGGGAAAACTTATGTGATTTGATTTTATGCAGCGTAAATGGTAACTGACATTTGACAGGCAACACCTCTTGCAAGTCGTCTGGCATTCTATTGGGTTATTTATTGTACCAACTATTAAATTTAAGAAAAGTGACGTCATTGCTTAACTGTTAAGTAAGCGGTTGTTTAAACATCCGTATTAATTAAAATGGATTTCGAGTTTTTAATTTTGATTGTTTGAGCTTTTTAATCAGAGTTGTTTGATATTGGACTTGTGCAAACTTCGTAGTCTTGAGTCCAAATTTTCCAATCTAAAATCACATTGGCCGAAATTTAATTTCAATCCACTTCTGCTTAAATGGGTCTTTTGTGCTTAAAAGTTAAAAAGCCTATGCCATTCGGAGCTTAAAAGCCCAAATTTCCAAATTCATGCTATTAAATTAGTGTTTTAATTAAATGAAAGGTAAGGGGCAAACTCCGGTGTACAAAGCTAATGCTCTCCGTTTTATGAGAGTTGATGTGAAATCTATAGTATTTTAATTAAATAAATAATTTAATTAACTAATTAATGAAAATTAAATAAAAAAAGGAATAAAAATTCTAATAAAATAAAAATAAGAAAAAATTGAAAAATAAAATAAAATTAAACGCGGATGCCATGCACGAAACCGCCAGCAACAGTGTCTGCCAACCCTGCAATTCAGCCACCCTATCCATCGAACCGCCAAGCCACCCTCTAGCCATCATTGAAGTCGAAATTAAGCTGCCAACAACCCTCCTTCTTACTCGGCATATTTCTACCTACTTTTTGGTTTTTCTCATGAACCTAAAATCTGAAACTACTTATAAAAGTGAACAAAGAAATCAACAGAAGCCATGCTACGCAATGACAATTAATAAAAATCAAGTACAATCATCGAAATATGTTGACCTATATTTGTCGAAAGTTTTCAATCATGGCTCATTGTATGTGGCCTTTCTTGTGAGATTTCACCATAAGAGTTAATAATTGTGATTTTAAAAAACGTTAATAGGTTTAAATATCATATATAAAACATTGTGTTTGAAAACGTTTTTAATGGTATATTTTCATAAATAATTTAGTTTGACATTTTTCATGTTACAATTTCATGTATTAAAAAACAAATTATTATAAACTTTAATAAATAAATTATTATGTTTTTGTTGGTACAACTCTTGAAACCATATTGTCAATTCCATTTGCACATTTGTTATGATTTTATGTTATAAAATTAATCGTGCAAAGCACCGACATAAAAACTTAGTTACATAATAAAATTAATTTTTTTAAATTAAATTATTATACATGTATTAAATTATACAAAATTAAATTAACTAATTAAAAGTTAACATTCCTCTTAAAATTTTATTTAAATTACTAAAAATTTCTCAAATATCTATTTCCCATCCATATTTACTTTTCCCTCAAATCATTCACCAAAATCGAAAAAAAAAATCAATTTTAACCTTTAAAACCATGTGAAATATATCAGTCTTACCAAATTCTTCCAAACCCATTTTCTTCTTTTCTCGCTAGTAGTAGAGCATGCCAGCATAGTTTTCAGCTTGCCAAATGCCAATCCCATTTTTCTCTGTTTCTTGTTCCTCCTCTGTCTCTACTTTTCTTCCCCATTTTGAGTCACCAAACACAACCAACCACCCTCTTGTCTTGCTCAAATCCTCACTGTCTCTCATTGGAAAGATTTTAAACCGACATGTCTCATTTATCTATCCCTCTCAAAATCAAAATTGGATAAGACAACACAGAGCATAGCCGAAAGTCGACGGGTACGGAGGTTATATGAGAACTTTTTTTTTAAACCATCCGCGACTCAAATTTTTAAAAATGGGTATTTGTGTTTTTGCCATGAATTAATTTCTTTTTTCTTAAAGTTTGATTAAGGCTTAAATTTATTGGATTTTAATTTAATTGTTTGAAGTTAGGGTGGGTTTTCTTCTTTGGTTTGATTTTGTTTATTGTATGAGTTGATTTAAAAAATATGAAAAATTACTATAGCATCTCGATATAATTATTATTGATCGTTATGCCATTATTTGATGTTACAAAACTCCATTGTGAGTGTAATTACCGTTCACAACCCCATCGTAGGTGAATAATGATGGCAGAAAGTGTCGCTACTGCTAAATAGAAGCCGCAATTCTTTTAATAAAAACAATACATGCCTCCTCATCAAATATGAAAATTATATACATGGAAAGACTATGGTCCCTTTTATCAAAGTTCATTTACGTGACTAAAATAGGGGGGAAAATAGATATATTCTAGTAGGGTGGGGCCTAAGTCTAATTAGTCTAATTAAACTCAAGCTAACGCTGCTGGGGGAGGCCAACTGTTGGATACTATTGTAAAATAACCTTTTCATGAGGCATTTATTATGTAATCTTTAATAATGCATATAAGTGTAACCAAAATAATAATAATAATAATGCTTATAAGAATTATATAGAATTTTTTATATACATATATATTTGGAATTAAAATATGTAATTATAAATCTTGGACCGTCTAATTCTTGGTCAATAGCTTGCTACTAGATATCATGTAAGTACTCCTACTGAGAGCTCTAAAATTTAAACATCATTTATAATTTATATATGTTAATACTAACGACTAGCAAAATTATTTGGCAAATTTTGATGGTGCTTTACTTGATTAATGAGCTACTCTTTTGAAATGACGTGGAGCAAAAAACTACCCCTTAATTAACATCACAATATGTGCATTAACAAAGAAAAATTTTTATTAAAAAAAAATCAAAATTAATCTATTCACTCTATCGATCATCAAATTAAAAAAACCTGATTTAAAAGGATAAAATTATTGTTTTTTATAGTAATTTACTCATAGTGCAAGCCTACGATTTCGCTTGTTTGAAAATGATTTTAGATATCTCAATTATCAATAGCATTATTACCATACATAAGGTAATTATTACCACAGGATTTATATTCACCCGGTTGCTTGCTTCGATAGCGATGCAAATAAATCCAACCTTTAGCACCAAATAAATAAATAAATCCAACCTTTTTAGTTTCATGATCCTAGGCTTCAAAAAGATTAAACTTAAATTAAAAATAATTTTTAATAAATTATTATAATTCAAACTGAACCTGAGCTCAAATTGTATTCCACTGAAAATTAATTTTATACATAATGCAATTGTAAGGAATTCTTGCTCGAAAAATTATTTTGATTCTCTAGAGCAATATTACCTTAAATAGTGATAAGCCAATTTATTGATTCACGTATACTAAATAAATATTAAACATATACAAATATATTGATTCTCTCAATCAAAATTACTTACAAGTGCAAAACTAATTATAAAGTTCAAGTTTTACCACGAAATTTTTTATATAGACAACTCAACAAAACCAGAAAAGGCCAAAGTTAGATTAATTAAGCTCCACCACGAATTTTTTTAATCAAAACCATCAACTTTAAACATAAAACGAAAGAAAATAGATGCGTTAACTAGGACAAATTAAACACAACCAAGAAATTTGTACTTAATTCCCCAAGTTTATTCGAAAACAGCAAAACCTGTTGTACTGTTTATATTGTCAAAGATGCACAAGTGAGGTTCCATTAATCAAATTGGCACTTTTCTATCGACTCCAGGTAGCATTTACCCTTGTAATAGCCATGAAATCGATCTAAAAACCACTGACGTTACCATCTTAAAGCAATAGCAAGAAACTCCAATGGCCTACGTCTATATTCATTAGAAAACCAAAGACTGAAAATTGAATGCCATGTAAGATAAAAGAAAATGAGAGAAGAAAATCTAACAGATGTTTCTCAATGCAAAGGTAACAATACAGTTTATCTTGATAGTAAAAGGTTGAACATTGAGTAAAAGCATAACTAAATTGTAAGTATCAGCAAATGAAAATTAATGGTTGAATGCAGTTCCTCCCCTGAAAGAAACTAGGCTCTCTGCATACATTGCTAGCTCTAATGCAGTTCCTTCAAATTGGAGTGTCTTTATCTCTTTGTTATCTCGATGATGCCACGCCAGAAAGTTGCTTTCTTCGTTAACAAAGAAGATTTCACCATCGCTGCCGACTCCTAATGGTGTAGTGGCAGGAGGAAGAGATTCAATGGTGAATAATTTTGTCCAAGAGTTCTTTAGACCAAGTTCACCCAACACCCATACATCATAGCAGCCATCTGTCACATAATAATCATGACAAAGTAACCCACCAAGTGATCCGTTGATTTCCATTAAATAGGTAAGATAGCGTGTTGTTCTACAGTTCTTACCCAATCTCCCATCAGGGAATGGTGTTGTGACGAAAACTTCATTACTCATGTCAAATGAGAGGAGCAATTCTTCACTATCAACAACTGCCATACAGTGATAAAATCCGTTGGAGTAGACTTGATCGTTCCCATAACTATGGAAGAATTCAGCAGTTAAGTTGTCATTGAACTTTCTCCAAGAATCAGTAGTTAAGTTGTACAAAGCAACTCGGTTACCTCGGGGGACTTTGTCGAAATCACCCTCCCAAAATGTGTCAATCCTAATTACTTTATACTCATCTCTCTTGGAATCATAACCCAGACCAGCTACATCAATGGTATTTTCAGAGCTTGGCGGACACTCCAAAGGATACACTACATCAATGGTATTTTCATAGCTTGGCGGACACTCAAAAGGACACATAGGGAGAATTTTAAATTCCTTAGTCGCAATGTTCCACAAAAGAATACCACTAACACAGTCACAAAGACAAATTATGCCATTGCAATGACCTAGGATATTTATACTCATTGGATCATCAGTAAAGGATGGTATATCAAGATTGGCAACAACATCAAGAGTTTGATTGGAAATAAAAGAGACCATAGTCTTTCTCTGTATAAAATTCACTTGTTTGATGAGGAGACAGGTCTTGTTTTTACTAAAAGAATAGTGGGCAGTAATAAATTGAGGGCTTTGAATCAAGCAACACCAAGACTTACCAACACACCTGAATCGCTTTAGAGATTTGACAGGCAATCTTGCCAGAATATCCACCACAATATCTTCAGGCAACGAATGAGTGATCGCGGTTGCAGCCATTGATGATCTTCCTTGACGGTGTCCCCCTGTGCGTGTGTAAACGAGAGATTTGAGTATGTGCAATACTTTCAAAGGGATGGGAAAACTCATGTGATTTCATTTTATGCAGCGTAAATGGTAACTGACATTTGACAGGTAACGCCCCTTGCAAGTCGTCTGGCATTCTATTGGGTTATTTATTGTACCAACTATTAAATTTAAGAAAAAGTGACGTCATTGCTTAACTGTTAAGTAAGCGGTTGTTTAAACATCCGGATTAATTAAAATGGATTTCGAGTTTTATTCGGATGTTCCTAATTTTGATTATTTGAGCTTTCTAATCAGAGTTGTTTGATATTGGACTTGTGCAAACTTGATAATCTTGAGTCCAAATTTTCCAATCTAAAATCACATGGGCCAAAATTTAATTTCAATCCACTTCTAGTTAAATGGATCTTTTGTGCTTAAAAGTTAAAGTCATTTGAGGCTTAAAGCCCAAATTTCCAGACTCATGCAATCAAATTAGTGCTTTAATTAAATGAAAGGTAAGAGGCAAACTCCGGAATACAATGCTAAAATTTCTCGTTTTACGAGAGTTAGGTTGAGATCTATAGCATTTGAATTAAATAAATAATTTAATTAATTAATGAATATTAAATAAAAAAGGAATAAAAAGTTTAATAAAATAAATATAAGAACAAATTGAAAGAAAATCAAATCACAAGCAGATACCGTGCAAGAAACCACCAGCAACAATGTCTACCAGCCTGCAATTCAGCCAACCTATCCCTTGAATCGTCAAGCCACCCTACCAGCCATCATTGCAGTCGAAATTAAGCTGCCAACAACCCTCTTTCTTACCCCGCATATTTCTACCTACTTTTCGTTTTTTCTCATGAACCTAAACTCTGAAACTACTTATAAAAGTGAACAGAGAAATCAACAGAGGGGGAAATTTTGAAAAAGAAAAAAAAAACTTCAAAAAAAAAAAATCTGTTACCATCACCACCAGTACCCTTGTGCTACTAGCACACCCACTTAGCAAAGAACCCAAACTCGTCACCAATTTCATCTAAAAGCCATCAAAGCTAAACCATGACCACCATCATCCACCCAAAAGCAAACACAAAAAACCCCTTCAACCCTTTGCTCACCGAAACCACCACACCCATCTAAATAGCCAAATACGCAGAACCTTCATCAAATTCCATCTGGAATAAAAAATTCCTACTCTATTTTCATTCGAAAACCATCACAAAAAAACCAAAAAGAAAATAATTTCCCTAAAACCCAAAAAATACACTATCAAAAGTAAAAAAGGCAATAAATGAGAAGAGTAAAAGATGGAGATTTTTGTTGGTTTTGGCAGCTAATCGGCCATGAGTATTCTTGGAATTTTTTGACTTGGATCTAGGTGGCATACATATACTCAATCTCTCGTTTACTTACACACAGTGAGGAAGATTATTAATGGCTGCAGTAATATTCACCCATTCGTTGCCTGAAAATGTTGTGGTGGAGAACAATTTTGGTTAATGTCATGGTTACGTTTTCGGTCACATTAAATTTATTATGATTGTGAATGTAATAATAATTATCGGTGTAACAGATACAATAACAATAGTTACCTTCATCGTGATAGTAAATTTTTTTTATTTTATAAAACTACAAACATCTTGTTTTACTCAAAGTTCGAACCTATAAATTGAATTTTTTATTTATTTTATTTTATTTTATTTTTATTAAATTTATATATACATATGTTATTTTTTATTTCATTATCTATTTTTATTTTTTTTATTATTTTTAATTTTATTTAATTTCTTTGCTATCCTTATCTTCAAATTCCATTTATATTTTCTTTAAATTATCTAATTATTTTTAAAAAATCAAATAGATGAAGTTTGGATGATATTAGCTTAGGTGATAAATGATAGGATTGATTTCAAAAGATAATTTAGGTGTTTATTTGAAATAAATTTAATCCTAATTGAATTGAGATTCTGCTAAATTTTTTTTTATAAATAGACTTGAAATCATCACACAATGATCACACACACAACAGTAAGCATAGTGAACAATAAGAGATAGCATTTTAACAAGAAAGATAGCAGCAACAAATAGAGAGAAAATAAATAGCATCCAAAATTTTGAAAAAGAGAAGTTTTTAGTAGAAGGATTTTTTAGAGTTTTTAAGTTGAGAGAATTTAATTTGGTATTTTTTTAAGGATTTTCAGGAGCTAAAAGTCTAATTTGGTGTTTTGAAGCAAATTTTTTTAAATTTCTAAAATTTTTTCTAAAAATTCTAGAATCCAACCAAAATTTCAACAAACTTCAAATTTTTCGATGACTCTCTAACAATTTTTTTTCAAATTTCAACAATATTCTTCAAAAACCGACAAAGCATTCAATCGACGTTCATAAGCTTTAAAGAGAGAAGCAAAGAAATAGAAAGAAAGGAGAGAAAGAAAAAAGAAATCTAAGGAAAGAAAAAACAAATTTGCAAGTTTTATAATGTCCTAGAATGGTGTCATTTTGAGTAAGGTTAAACCCTAAGATCCGTGTGTTTTGCATTGACCCAATTCGAACCATACCTCACTATCTAAAAACTCACAATCCTCCTAAGCTAATTGAGCTTCTAAGCCGAGCCAACTAGTCTTGAGCTGTGCCATATCCTGTTATCCTCTATGCTTATAGCCGCACCTTCTCAGCCACTAAACCGAGTCAATCTTGTTGGTATAATTTCATTTTCATTTATTTATTTATTTTTCATTTATTTGTATATTTTCTTTATTAATTGCTTATTTGTTTATTTATTTAGTGGTTTATTTATTTGTTTATTTTATTTATTTATTTATTTTATTTGATTTACATATTGAAGGGTTCAAACTTCTAAAAATAAATTTTTGAATAAAAAATGAATCTTACCAACATGTTGGATGGTTTAAATTTCTAAAAAAGAATTTTTGAATAAAAATGAATCTTGCCAATATATTGAAGGGTTCAAATTTAAAAAAAAATAAAATTTTGAACCTTACCAACATATTGGAGGGTTTAAATTCCCAAGAAATGAATTCTTCAATAGAATAAAGTCTTACCAACATATTGGAGGGCTTGTGATTTTAAAAATAAGGTTTTACCAATAGATTGGAGAACCTTATGAATTTCTCATAAAAATTAAATTTCAAGGTAAATAAAAAAATAGTCTTCAAAAAGCATTGCCAATATATTAAAAAGCTTGTGATTTTAAAAATAAGGTTTTACTAACAGATTAGAGAACTTTATGATTTTTAATTAAGATTTAAAAGAAAAAAATAGTTTCTGTAAGATCCTACCAATATATTGGAGGAGAATCTTTAATAAAAAAAATCTTACCAATATATTAGAAGATATTTTTAAAAATAAAATAAATTAATAGATGGTTTATTTGCACAAGAAATGTGTAAACACCCAATTTTGTTCGAATTGTCTAAAACGGATCTTGATTTCAATTGAGTGGATATTGGGCCCAAATTTTATTTCAATTGGGCTTAAGACTAGAATTTTATCTTTGGCCTAAAGTTGTGGCCCAAAATCCAGTTAAGCTGCTAAGTTTTTGTTTTTTAAAAAAAAGCAAATAAAATAAAAATAATTAAAAAGTAATTAAAAACAAAAAAAAGAAGGGCCTATGACTTTGGGTGTCGTGCACGGCACTGGTAACCTACGAGCCACCCTACCCTTTTACCTATACCCCCTTCCCCTTTCAGCCATGGCAGATAAGGCCAAGTCTTTAAAAATCTAGTTTAAGCTAAATTGGAAAACAAAAAAAAGGTCACATCGATAGTTGTCCAGGTAGCATATAGGTCGCTGGTGACCCTATGAAAACCCCTCAGAATCTCAAAAATTATGAGATTTCATCTCTCTTCCCAATTCTATAAATTTAAAGATCAAGCAAAAAACAAAGAGGAAGAAAGAATAAGGGAAAAACTCTATAAAAAAAAACCCATAAAAGAAATCTTCTGTCAAACAAAAAAAACACCTTTTCTTAATATAAAAATAAAAAACAAAATCCACATCCTTTAGAATAGGTAATCAACACTAAAAAAAAAACCATAAAAAATGAAAAAATGAAAAAAAAAGAGTTTTTAACTGAGACTTTGAGAATAGATCTTGGTATTTGGAGAGAGGTTTTTGAAAAACGAGGCTCAAAATGAGAATCAAGAGGTTGAGAGGAGTTTTTTAGTGACTTTTGGAAGTTTTTTGGTGATTGGCAATGATGACGATGAACAAAAGTGCATGACGACAACCTATCATTTTTTTGGAAAAGAGTGGAAGAAATTTTTTGGTTTTGAGGTTTGTTTTTTTTTTTTTTTTGTAAAAAGGGGGGAAAAATTAGTTGAAAAAAACTTTGGTTTTCATAGGAGAGGGAAGAGTTAAAAAGATGCTATTTTGGTTAGGAAAAGATCCACGTCAACTTGTTACCCAGCTGTAGACATCCTATTTAGTTTGAGACTCAAACCAATTGGGCCTAGATCTGATCCAAGCCCAATAGTTCAATTTCCTACATTTCTTTTTTATATCTTGTTTCTCTTATTTATTTATTTCTTTTTTTTATATTTTAGTATTTTATATATCTGGTTTTAAATTTTTATCATGAATCATTAATCATGTGGAGTAATTTGAGCACTAATCAAGGATGATCTCAGTAATTAAGACTTAAACACGATATCTTCAAATATTAAAGGAGGATTGAAAAGAAACAAAATTAGAGAACCAAAGTTAGATTTAATTTGGAGAAATTTTAAGGGATTCTAAAAATCAAGGAAAATCAAGACAATTCTAGAAATTAATTAAATCGGCTTTAAAGAGAATCAAGAAAAAAATCAATTCAGAGCATAATCAAATTTGCAATCTTTTCCATTCAATGCAAATCCCTAAAATTCTTAGCAGAAGGCCCTATATAAACACTAATTAACCACACACAATAGGGGGAAAAATACTAGGGATCTTACTTTTCTGTTTTTAACAAGAATCATTCAAGCAACTTTTGAGATTTTTTTTTGGGTTCTGTGAATTTATTTCATTTTGAATTTGATTTGATTTTTGAATTTCCTAAATTTGGGTTTTAATTTTTAAGTTTGATTCCATATACTGTTGAGTTTATGAGATTTCTGCTGGGGTTTTTTTGTTGATTTTTGATTTTGGGATTTCTATTTGGTTTTTAAGAATTTGAAAACTTTTTTAGGTTTAGGATGAATTTTTTGGTTGAAGTTTGAAGTTTTTGCTTGAACCCGGTGACCTACGTAAAGATCCATGCTTCAAGTTTGACTCAATCGCAGGTTTTTCTTTTTTTTTCTTTCATCCTATTTTCTATTTTGATTTGATTATTTTATTTTAATTTTATTTTTAGAATTTTTATTTTTAATTATTATTTTTTTTCATCTTTAATTACTATTTTA